AATGTTAATATATTTTTTTAGATTCACAGACACGCTCCAGTTTCTTCTACGACCTGGTGTTCGTATCAATTACACAAGGTTTTTTTTTTTTTGCATCAACCAATCTTTAAAACTCTAGCCCATAGTTTTATGTCTTCCTCGGATGTCGTCATTTATAGACCAACGAAACTAATCCAATTTAAATGAATGTGTTTCACGCTTCCGTAGTACATACGTGATACGTAAATAAACTAATTTTACGATTATTGTCTTAAACTCACGACATAAGTCGCCGATTATGAAGTTTTGGCAAGTATCCTTTCTATATAATAAAATTTAAATAAATAACACTAAAACCAATCGTAAGCTTGTTTTGTGTTTTATAGCTTCCAAAACATAAAATATAACGTATTTGGTTATCGAAAATAATTGACATGAAAATTAAAGAAATTAACCATCAATGCATTGAACACATGTATGTAGTTCAAAAGTTTTAGGAATTTGTCAATGGTGTATTTTATCACGATAAAAACTAGCTTTAATCGCCGATGGAAATCGAACGAATACTAAAATTATAATAATAATTCATAAAAAAATGTTTTAGTACAATTGAACAAGATCTGCACAAGGAAAACAGTCTCGATGACTCGTTTAAGTTGATGCAATTTACCAAGTGCAAGTAATGAGTTCAATCGAACTGTCATCGTGAACGAACAGAAAAGATGTAAATGAAAAGGTCACTTCCTTTACGATAATAACGAACTTATTGTTCGCATTGAAAGTCTTCATCGAAACAATGGTAACAGTTGAATCAGCGAGTTGTTATAGTAATATTTTTAGGATGGTTGTTGTTGAGAGGTTGCTTTCTCTTATTAAGAAACCTTGGCTCTGTTTGATTTTTAACTTTTACATTACTGTCTGTAATGTATTGTACTTTTTAAAGTTCAACACTTTAGTAGTAGATTTGAATTGAAATTGCATTATAAATACGCAGTTTTAATTTGCAATCCGACAATTAATTTTATTTACGTTTACCTTAGTCACTTGTAACTGACAGTTGAAGATGACTGCTGTGTAATTCAATGCTGAGCGCCACCCCCATCCATACAAGTAGAGGGCAGTGCTATTAGACACAGCAGATGCTCAAAATCTATGAAACGAAATTTTAATTATTATTTTTTATTGCTTAGATGGGTGGACGAGCTCACAGCCCACCTGGTGTTAAGTGGTTACTGGAGCCCATAGACATCTACAACGTAAATGCGCCACCCACATTGAGATATAAGTTCTAAGATCTCAGTATAATTACAACGGCTGCCCTACCCTTCAGACCGAAACACATTACTGCTTCACGGCAGAAATAGGTAAGGCGGTGGTACCTACCCGTGCGGACTCACAAGAGGTCCCACCATCAGTGTGTAGTATCATAACTTACTCATTTTTCAAAGTGGACTGATATGACACAGCAGTTGTTTGCATTTTAAGCCAATTTAAGCATTAATTAATTTTGAGAAATTGCAACCTTAAACTTACTCTATTTCATTTTCCTGGACTACAGTTTTTTCTTAGTATTTACTATTCTTATAGCTGCTGTGTAAAAGTGCAACGACGATAAATAATGAATTTCCCGCAAATGTAATCACGCGAATTAATGACGAAAAAGAACATTACACATTTTGCTTCGCTTACTTCTCAGAATTGAATAACAAATGGGGAAAAATATATTTGCGTGAACTGCAACGACAGGGTCGCATGCATTAAAATCGTTTTAAATGCGAATTGAATTGTTTTTATTACTTTAACCTCGCATGAAACTTTCTTGAGAATATGGTCCTTGCAAGGGTCGTATTACTTATAAAACAAGTTCCTATTTGAAAACATTAAATAAACTTGAAAGTTAAATGAGTTCAGTGTTCCGCTTTGAATGGTCTGACAATGATCTAATCAATAACGGCCGTCTGGTGTAGTGGTAAGTGACATGGTCACTACACAAGGGGTTCGCGGGTTCGAATCCCGCCAAGGGAAGATATTAGTATGACAAATATAAATGTCTTTTCCAGGGTTATGGATGTATATTAAATATGTGTACGTGTATAATAAAAATCTTACATTTATTTCCGTTATCTGGTACCTGTAACACAAGTTCTTTACGAACTTAGCACGGGACCAGTTAACGTGGCGTGTAATAAAAATAAAAATAAAAAATGACTAGTTGATGTCATGATTTCCTCATAATCCTATCATAATATAGTTTTATTGTGTGACTTTTGATCTTTTGTAGAAAGAGATTACTTGGTCAATGTATTCTGATGATTCACTTGATTTTTTTACGGTACTGGCATCTGGGTCCCCAATAATACTTCCACGCTCAAAAAAAACAAATTTCGTTATCTATAAAAGTCTTGAGATATGAGCTCATTTACCTATTTATAACTAGGGATTTCTTATTGTAGATTACTCGTAATAAATGAAAAGAAGCTTTGAATATATGTACCTATATAAACACTAGTAAAACACCTTTGAACGTGGTAATAATAATGGCTTATTATATTTAATTTCTATCATTTCAGAATAATTTAAACTTGTCATTATTTCCTTTCATTATTATATATCCTCATTCAATAAGTGTCATGAAACATATGGAAAGTGTATTATTACCCTTTCACATATAATGCAGTACATTACATTCGAAGCTAATAAATTTCACACAATGCAATCGATAACATCCACAATACTTCGTTATTTTACATAATCGCAATATATTTATTTATCGGTTTTCCGTCTTAAGGTTTTGAAAACTACTTCAGTTCTAATATAGGTGATATACGTTAAACGAAAATGTTTCCCCTTTCCGGTATCTTTTCATACAAAACAACTTGTATTTGCAATTGCGAAAGAAAAAACATAATAATGATTTCTTAAGTCCATCATTATTAATAGAGGTAACGACGTATTCAAGGAACTTAAAACTGAGGAGTCCCAGAAAATCTCAATGCATGCGGTAGGCAGCGGCTTGGCTCTGCTTCTGGCATTACTGAAGTCCATGGGCGACGGTAACCACTTACCATCAGGTGGGCCGTACGCTCGTCTGCATACAAGGGTAATAAAAAGAAATGCTTGTATGGTTTTACCTCTAAAACGTCAAATGGGGCTGGAACGACACGTACGTAAGGCGAATCCACAAAAACCCATGGCCATTTAAATTGAAATAGCATAATATATATAGATTACATTCGAATTTCAGCTACTAACTCTTCTACTAGCGTCATAGGATAGATTTTGCGTAATATTGTTACGTGAGATGATCCTTCATATGCAATGTATGATTGCTTCGCGACAGAAATATAAGTCGAAGAGATGGCGTGCTGATATTTTAGGGCGAAACCGCACATTCTTCCATTTGTCCGTTTCCATTGTAGGTATGAAAACGATATAAATTTTTTCAAACAAAATAATTCGCTAACTGACAGATAACACAACTCTACAAAAAAAAAATCGTTCTTTGTCCTAACGTTTATACTAGGTTTTTCCTTTAACTATTTCCCCTCGAGATATCTAAATTACTATAAGGTACTGTGTACCGCGAATTGCATACTAAGCAACTGTTTTTAGTAATCAAAACATAAATATTTTCATTAATTTGTTTACCTCATATATAATTTGTATAACGTTTGGGATATAAATTAGCAGTGTATACAAAAACTATTGCATAAAAAATAACTCTGAATATTTTTTGTTAGCCTAATAAATTAATGACCGGTACTGCTTCGAGCTAGCAATACTTAAATTGATATTTTTTCATAATTTTTTATTAGTATTGTAAAGAATTATTTTCTTTTTTCCCTCCATTGACTTTAAACATGTACTTACAATAAAATATTCAATGACATGCTCAAGACTTCAAACAATACTTTAAATAAAGTCAACTTACAAATAATCTATTCTTGAAAGTCGATATCCACCAGACAGCCTGTCTTTTATTATTATGATTAGTTCGTCAACCCCCCTTGTGTCTTCTAATAGTTTTCTTGCTTGACGTCATTTCAGTTTGTTGCCAACCGAATTCATTAGTAAAGTCCGAAAACAGGAAATTAGCATAACCTTAAAACATCTATAAACGTGTAGACTTAAGTGAAACGTTAACGATTAGTGCAATTAGAATTCTTTTTTGAATCTCGATTAGACAAAACGTGGTCTCGACTGCAACATTTTACGAGCTTTAGTTCTTTAACAAAAATGATTTCTTTGTAATCTATTTATGCTCCATACCAATCCTAGTGTTTTGACGTAAACGCCTAACTAATTTACTGTTCTCGCTCTCTTGAGTTACGAGAATTATTTCCTGATCAGTTTCAACCTTAACTATTGTCATGTCAATCAGATCGATCTTTAATTTTATCACCACATGACCTAATAATGTTATTTTTACATCTGTCACTATTGTTATTTCATTAATTGAATTCGCACCATGGACGTAAGCCAACTTATATTGTTCATGAGGCGATCCAACAAGAGTATCTCGCGTGGTGATTGATTGTCCTATATCATGATTCGTCGAATAACAGACAATGTAAATGGAATGCTTGCTTGCCCAGTACTTTAACTATTGACTGACACTCCGGTTGCCTTGCCACTAACTGAATACCACTGCTTATATTTCTTCACCTAGCTGAGAATGTTCTGCTTCGCTCGGCTGTTTGTAGCTAAAACGATAACAAAAATTTTGGTATTCACAATGATAACGTGTGATTAAATGTAATATAATATTACAGCGAATGGAAAACTTGGCGGGATATTAGATAATGTTTTGTTATAGATATAATAACACTAGAATAAATTGCTAGGTTTTGAAATAGATTAGAATTATTAACTTGATAGCGAATATTCAATTAGTGATGAATATTGCTGACTTAGAAGCTCCAACGTTTTAATTGTGATTATAATGTAAGGTTGAAGCTTGTAAGTCGTATGGAATGAAGGCTGTCGCCTAGGGCTCTGGTGACGTGGTAATGTGTCGGCAGTATCAACGGGTTGGCGTTGGCGCTCGTCGGCAGCGGTGGAGGCAGTCCGGCGACAGCGTCTGAATCTCGTGACCAAACGACTACGTCGTCTCGTGCGCCTTCTCCGCCTCTCTCCGAACGACAGCAGCACACCAGGTAGATGCGCTCTATACTCGGAACGTTTGGCTTCTCCTGGCTATTGTTATCATTACTCTTATGACGAGGAACGCAAGCTTTACCCGTTGTATTATTGTCGTATGCCATTCGAATTCATTTATGGCATTAATTTTTATGCGATCAATATTATTCGTTAAAAGCCAGCGTTCGATTTGTCAATTGTTGTATTATGGTGTTGGTTACACTTCATTTTTTTTTATATCAGTTTTGTTTTTCCTTTTTTTGTTTTTTTTTTGTTTTGGAACATTGTAAACGCCGAATAACGTTCCTGGTTTGTGTGCATGCTTGCCTGCCTGAGTGTTTTATTTTTGGTGGTAGAATGTGTTATATTTTTTTTTATGTTTAAGAAAAAGCATTGTATATTGTGCGTTTTTTTTTCTCTCTCCATAAGTTGTAAAAAAGGTGAATGGATTTTTTTCAGTGCAGTGCGTCAACTGTATATTTCAAAATTCATCACCCACACACCATTCATTTAACTTATCAAGATAATACCTAATTGCTCTATTATGAATTTTTAGGAAGTCCAAATGAACAGGTAGAAATAATTCATTGGTCCAATGTTTGTAGCGATCGATATATCCCATCGTGGTGTACCTACGAATGAGAATCTCTGATATCAATGTAATCGGAAGCAATTTTAGACTATCATTGTCAACGTTTACGGTACTCAAATTAGTAAGCATTCAAGCATGACACAAAAACTTCAGTGTCATAAATGCATACTTTGGGCTATTAGAGCGTCAGTACTAGTAGCGTCCAACAGCACTGAAAGTGGATTAGAAGGAACCATGACAACGTGGCTAGGACGTTGACGATGATAGGCAACTGCTTGAGCTGGGTCGGGATTGTAGCTAGGGATGTCCATGATGAATAAGTTATCGTGTCACACCGCTGACTCGAAGTAGTGTTCCGACGCTGTCTTAATATACAATACTTATAAAATTTATTTGAATAGAAATTGAAATGATATACGTGTATGTATTCCATTCTTGTTCATAGTGCTATTGACCGTGTAGTCTGATTGTAACCATCTCACTACACGCGATTACACAAATATGGAATTATTTATGTTTGCTTTATTTATTGTTTAAATTATGAACAGAGCTAAACAAATAGGAACTGAAAGATTGCAAAATTTAAAGAAATTTATTTTGTAAACGCTCAATTACTATTGATTTTTTGTCAAAGACTTAAATTATGTAGAATTTTGTCAGAATAATAAATCCTGAATTTGTTTTACAAAGATTTTCCTTTGTAATAATCAACCTTCAGTTAAAAATTTCGTTCTTTTGTCTCGGTCGTAATTTAACCTTAAAAAAGATCTTTCGTCAGAAGATTCATTCATCAAACAAAAAATATGTACTTAGATTAATGAGTTTCATTTCAAAGTATACGTAAATAAAAGCCAATCAACAAAAGAGCGAGACCATTTAAAATTAATATTCTCGAAGAGACTAACTAATTACGGGCCATTCAGGGTGTGTAGCCTATTACCTTGTGTGGTCTGATGATCCTTTATACGATCATCAATAAGTTAGATGTTCATAACATTAAGGCTAACAAAGTTATCGTTATTATATTGTTCCTAAACTACATCTTATCCCAGTCGATTATTAGTTCTTTTTTTAATTCTTTAGATGGGTGGACTAGCTCACAGCCCACCTGGCGTTAAGTGTTTACTGGAGCCCATAGACACCTACAACGTAAATGCGCCACCCACCTTGAGATATAAGTTCTAAAGTCTCAAGTATAGTTACAACAGCTGCCCCACCCTTCATACCGAAACGCATTACTGCTTAACGGCAGAAATAGGCAGGGTAGGGGATACCTACCCGCGCGGACTCACTAGAGGTCCTGCCACTAGTAAAGAGGTCAAGTTAATCGATATTTGGCAATTGTTAGTACATTTGTAGTACAACCAAACACCAACATCACGTCCGTGACCACGAAAACTATAAAGTATTGGAGTAGTCGAAAGAAGTATCAAAACAATTTTTATTTTCTGATAAAGAGGGGCTGCGGGATATCGAGATGGGGTTATAATTCTACAAAAGCAAGTACAAGAGGCTATAGACAACGTTATAACGGAAATACCACCTACGTTGAGTTCGAAAAATCGATCGGAACGCGCAATTGCCTGCCAAAAATATATGATTGATTGTGAAATATGGGATTNAGTAGTCGAAAGAAGTATCAAAACAATTTTTATTTTCTGATAAAGAGGGGCTGCGGGATATCGAGATGGGGTTATAATTCTACAAAAGCAAGTACAAGAGGCTATAGACAACGTTATAACGGAAATACCACCTACGTTGAGTTCGAAAAATCGATCGGAACGCGCAATTGCCTGCCAAAAATATATGATTGATTGTGAAATATGGGATTCACGACATGCCGAACTCTCTAATAATAATTATTATATTATGCAAATTTATATATTTTGTCGGTTTGAATTTATTTCGCGATGTTGTTTGTCCCTGCATCGTGAAAGTCATTTGTGATGAAAACGTGATCACGTGCTAAGAACCTAACTTAATAGAATTAGTACATGCTCGGGACTGGTACTTCGACATTATTGCATGTTTACGAGTAAACCGGCCGTGTCTTATCTATTACTTCACGGATGAGTCAAGACGATACTAGACACCCTCACAGATTAAACTCTGTTTGTTTATTGTTGTTTACAATTGGTTCTTTATTGATGTTTTTTTTTAAATGAAATTAAAGCCCAATCAATAGAACGGATAACTGATCGGAAATTTTGTAGGAAGTCTCCGTGGTGTATTTCTCGGAATTTTATGCTATTCAAACTCTTAATCTTCCTTGAGTAGCTACTCTTTTCTTACTTCTAATAATGAACACCTTTATCAGTCCAAAAGTACTAATTGGGGTCACAATCACTGTTTTACGAGATTGCACAATTTGATGCACACAATTCAAAGGTCAAAGTGTCATTGATGACTTCGTGTCTAAAGAGGAAATAAAAAAAACAATTATGGTAAGTTTTTGAAAGTTTAATTTTAGGTAGAAAAATTCCGTCGACCCATATTACTTTATGCACGTGTAAGAAAATGTAAAATCAGCTTAAACTTCAAAGTTCTGTACAATACAACGCATAATTCGAAAGAAATGTTTCGCGCAAACACGTTGCTTTTATGCATTGCACGCCCTTATAATTTCGGTGGTACGAAACATGGCTTGCGTCATGCTCTGAGAATAGAGCGCGGCCGCGTTCACTGCAGAGTTATTGTAGATTTTTTTGCTGGCAGGTTATTGACTTGAACATTTAGATGTCACGGCAAGGGTACGGAGTGGAAGTGGCTGTGTTGCAAGATTAGAAAAAAATATAAGTTAATATTTATTCGTACGTTACTAAAATACATAATAAATTACTTACTACTTTTATATTGATCTTGAATATGTTTTGCGTAATGAATCAAAAAACGTATTTTGTACAAATATAAGGCAAATCTGATGAGAAGATAATTAAAGGTGTAGTTATTTCTAAATAATAAAGGCATTGGACTTTGTGAAAAGAAAACATACCTTTTCAAGCCTTTAAGGTCAAAAACCTTTTGCTTGCTTTTCGCTCTGCGATACATATACATATTTTTCACAACAGTGTTACAAAATTTTGAAAATTACTAGGTACTTTATTAAGCCGAGTATTGTCCTTGTGCTTACACTGCGTGAAAGACACAATAAAATACCCCGAACGCGTAACAATTCTTGTAATGATTCCTGGTAACCCTCAACTATAATTTTAGTCACGAAGCTGCGTTTACACTGATACCTATGCGAATATTTAGTTTCAGCTTTACAAACGAACATAAACCAAAAAGTACATTGTTAATATGGATGTTATTTGATGATGAGTTATGATCCTAGTTTAAATATGTAGATTTATGGTAGTGAATTATTTGTACTATCGTATGTATTGTCATTGGTTTTTGTTCTATTGCAAACGCACTGTTTTCTATTCAAATCTATAAAACATCCTGTCGAATATTGGCCAAAAATATCTTAAATTTTCCATAGCAAAGAAGGAGTCCACTTTAAGAAATTGTTTTGTCTTGTGTGAACGGTTCCTGATGATTTATTTTATTATTTTTGTCCATCTCATCAAGGCTTAAAAACCTCATCTTTGGCATCCTTATGATGACGGAATGATTGCAGCTTTTTTTGCCTCTAAACATTACTTAACTTGGCAAGTAATTTAGAAGGATTGTTCAGCATTTTCAAATTGATATAAAAAACCGTTTTTAATATCTCATTCCATGAAATACGTAAGCACGTTAATGACGGAATACGCATTCAAATAGGTAGTTGTTACTTTATCGTTAGCAACTTTTTGTCGAAATTAAAAATGTATCTTAAAAGAACCGTAAACATATTTTTTTCATAATTGTAGATGTTTTTACGTCAATATTTTTGAAAGCATACGAAAATTTTATGTTTGAAGGTTAAGTCTCCCCACGGACTACCAGACTTCTGGTTTGAACCTAAGTAGAAGTTGGAACACGCATTTTACTAGCGCAGGTATACAATCTAACTAACTAGCATTTACAGCCTATAAGCGCAACTTGGTAATAGCTAATTCATGTTTATTTATTTTTACCCCGTTTAAAACAGTCAATTCCAATTACCAAATCAACCTGAGAAGCACTTTGTGTAGGTGTATCTCGTACCGAACCAGAAAAGCTGTTAACTGACCAGTTTTTTTCTTCTAAACTCTAGACATCTAGCATATAATACTAAACCTATATGGATATTAAACACCCAGACAAAGAGCAAATAAACCTGTTGTTCGCGCGAATGTATGAAAATTTAATGTGTAATAAATATTGAATAATATTTAATAATAATAATATATAGACCTGAAAGAAGAAGTTATTAGAATATGAATGGAACCAGGAAAAAGTTTACATAGTCCCAATAGTCATTTCCACCAGAGGCGTTGTCCCTAAGCACCTCCACCACAGCCTGAAGTTAATTGTTCTGAAACCCACTCTGAAACACTTTCATGCAACTACAAAAATCTGCTATATTAAATACATATAGAACTGTTCGTAAATTT